CTGTCACTATTTGTTATGCAGCTGAAGGTAGACAATTTAATTATATCAAGAAACATTTAATGCACAGATAGCTGACCTTTTCCCAGATTGTGTATTTGTTTTTTGGAGGGAGAAGCTGAATATGAACTGGCAGTTAAAAAATCTGTAAAGAAATCAGCTTGCTCATATTCATTGTACATTTTTGCTCTAAAGCATTTTCCATGAACTGTGTGTTGATTCATGCCCTAAGCGAGAAGATGACAATTTGACTGTTACCAAGTTAAGGTGGCCTCTTGTAAAATTAATTTTCTCACTCAGTCAAGTTTTGCATGTTATTAACTTTTAAAAGTTAGCAGTGGTTTATCTTTTTCTATGTTGGAATAAAAAGTTGGTCAGAGAAAAGCACAGACATGGCTAGTTGATTAAAAACAAATTGTTTAACCTTGTTAACTAACAAAAGATGATTAAGTACTGTGGGGGGGGGAGCTGAAAGAAAATGAACTGGAAAATACATAGTGACAGAAAAATCAAATTAGAAAATGCTTTCCCCAATAAAGGAAACATAAAATTTGGTTAAGGCTTATTTGGATAAATATTAATATTGGCTTTTAAATCATACTAGTATTACTTTCATAATATTTATGCCTGTATAAGTCTTCCATGAATCAAATTACTTGTAGTTATCAGGGAATTTCCCTGGTACCTTTTATTGACAAAATTATACAGCACATAGCATATAGCTTTTTTGGGACACTTAGTATTTTTGTATCAGGTAGTTTTGAGGAGAGATTTTCTTTTTCTACTTAGATTATTAGTTCTATAGTGAGACTAAAATAATATTAAAATTTGTAGAAAACTAACTGGGTATGGTGGTGTACACCTGTAGTACCAGCTACTTGGGAGTTTCAGGCAGGATTGCTTGAGCCCAGAAGTTTGAGAACGGCCTGGGCAACATAACCACAGTGTATCTGCCTTAAAAATATAAATTGTAGAAATGTAGAAATTTAAATTTGTTATCAAAATTTGTATTAAAAATGGATTTTTCTGTGTATAAGTTGTCCATAAAGTACATGTAAACACTAGTCCATAAAGTATATGTAAAACACTTCATCTAATGAGTAACATGTATTTTACTGCAAATTATCAGTTACATAAACAGACTCTTAATACCAATATGGTAAAACTTTAACACCATAACTTTGTCATTGTAGTTTATTTAAAATACCCACTCAACGTCTTTATATTACATTCAGAAATATAAAATTTCAGAAATTTTTATATTTAGTTGTTTAAATAATCCTTTGAAGTTCCCCTATACTACAAGATACTGCAACGTATTTGTGTGTATCCTGGAGTACCTGGAATACAGTCTTCCATGTAAGAAGCATTGTACTCGTTGCTTTTTCGAGATGGAGTTTCACTCTGTCACCCACGCTGGAGTGCAGTCAGTGGTGGGATCTTGGCTCACTGCAGTGTTCACTTCTTGGGCACGGGTGATCCTCCCACCTCAGCCATCCAAGTAGCTGGGACTGTAGGCCTTTGTCACCATGGTTGGCTGAGTTTTCTATTTTTTTGTAGAGATGGGTTTTGCCTTGTGGCACAGGCTGATCTTTAACTGTTGGACTCACATGATATGCCCGCCTCAGCCTCTCAAAGTGCTGGGGTTACAAGCATGAGTTGCTACATTGAGCCTTAATAGTTGTTTAATCTGAATAAATAGAAGAATAAATTTTTATACAACGGAATATTATAAGTATATACATAATGTATTGGTTAAATACTGCAGTTAAAAATATTGCTTACATTTCTATTATTTTTTAATGTTTAAGGATGTATAAGTTTTGATGTGTTATTTTGAGAAATCATGCCATGAATAAAAGGAAATAAATTAGAAATAGGTCATCAATAGCAAAGAGGGTTACAATATATTTTCTAGTATAATTCAAAAGGAATCTTAGATTGTGATTTTAAACTAAAATTCTTAAACATTTTATTAGCCCCAACTCATACTCTAATAAATACGCCTTTATAAGCCATGCATTACTATTTAGAATTCTGGTTACCAATTCTTTCTCTAGGTGGAAAGTTGATGGAAAGTTCTAGTTTTCCCTCTCTGTAATAATAACGGTCTTTCAGGTAGTGGTACATGACGATGGTTAGCTAACTGAATGTTTTATAGTAATAAAATTAAACTCTGTATTACATAAATACTTTTTAAAAACGAATTGTAGCATGAAGTATTAACCTGTATTGTTAGGGCTATAAAGGAACAAAAGGCTCTGTTACTATCTATTTCTCCGTGTACTTTATTGTACGTCATGTTGTTTCTTGTCCTTCTTGGCTGAAGATCATATTAAATTGACTAGGCTTCTTTGCTGTTTCTCCCTTGATGCTCACTTTGGGAGACAAGAGTTTCGCTCGTTACCCAGGCTGGAGTGCAATGGCGCGATCTCGGCTCACTGCAACCTCCGCCTCCTGGGTTCAAGCAGTTCTCCTGCCTCAGCCTCCTGAGTAGCTGGGATTACAGGCACGCACCACCATGCCCAGCTAATGTTTTGTATTTCTTTTTAGTAGAGACAGGGTTTCACCATGTTGACCAGGATGGTCTCGATCTCTTGACCTCGTGATCCACCCGCCTCGGCCTCCCAAAGTGCTGGGATTACAGGCTTGAGCCACCGTGCCTGGCCCATGCTCACATTTTTAAAATGATTTATCCCCACCTAATTTTTTTCTGACAGATCTCATTTCTTTAGTGACTGGTCTTTCAGTCCATCTGTGTTTTCATTGTCAGCATATTAGTTACAGCTTTCTCTTTAGTTATCTATGTGCGGCTTTCATTCAACGATTATTGCCTACAAGACTTACCCTTGTTTTTTTTCATTGGAAGAGCTGAATGTATACATTTATCTTCATCTTTTTGACAAACAGAATAAAAGCAACTAAGTGCAATGCCAACCCACTTAAATAAGGTACTACTATGAACTAAATTCTCATTTTCCCCGACAAGATGTGATTTATGCAAATAATTTTCTCCTGCATATGCCCACAATTATTTTCTCATTTTTTAGCTCACAATTAAATAACAGGTGCTAAGTAAATTACTGCTTCATAGTATAATTCTGTAATTTGCATGATTCACTTTAAGAAAAAGTATACTATAGTCCCAGACAAATAAAGCTTAGAATTTGTGAAAAATCACTTTGTGTTCTCAAAATACGTTTATCTAAAATCTAAAGAATTATTTCAGGGCTGGGTGCTGTGGCTCACGCCTGTAATCCTAGCACTTTGGGAGGCTGAGGTGGGTGGATCACCTGAGGACAGGGGTTCAAGACGAGCCTGGCCATCATTGTGAAACCCCATCTTTATTTAGAAAAAATTATTTCAGGTTAAGCTGTGGCCAAATGTATCATTCTGTGGTATGTCTGGATGTGCAAATCAAAAAGAGAGTTAGAAACAGTTTGAATTGCAATTTTTATTGAAATTAGAACTTTAAAAAATAATGCTGGGATTTTAGTATGTTTATATATTTTGATTGTTGAATATAGACCTACAATGAACATTTTAGGTTGATAAAAAAATGAGGACTAATAACTATGTGGGATTGTAATAACAGCAATTTCGTGTTGTAGTAAGTGGAAGTCATTTTCAAAGAGAATAGACTGAGTACTGTTGTGGCAGCCACGCTTATAGCAGCAGAAGTATAAAATAATAATGTGTATTGTAATGTTATAACTGTGGAAAGAAACGGGAGGGGCCTGACTTTCGACTAGAAGCAGCTGGTGCATAGTTTTACCAGCAACAAATAGAAGGCAAAAGACATATTAGCATCCTGGTTTTGCAACTTACTAGGTATGGGACCTTAGGAAAAATTATTTATTGTCATTGACCTCGTTCATAAAAATGGTACTAATGGTTAAGTCTCAGGTATGTGTAATGAACAAAAGTAGTGGGAAATGTAAAAACATATGTAATCTGGAAAATATGTTTACAAATTTGAAAAAAATGATCACAGGAATATTCAGTATTCTGTGACTTAGTAAATCTTGAGGAAAATTTTTGTTAAACCTGAAGGATGGTAAAATGGCAGTAGCATCAAGAAAAGAATGGGAAAGTAGGAAATGGCATGTGGATTTTAAATTTGGGGTACGGGTGTGTTCAGTTTCAGCAGGCTACTACCAATGAAGATGTCCTGTAGTAACATAGGGTTTGGCATATGAGACTTTCTGATGAAATTTTAAGTGATTTGACCTGGAATTTATTTTGGTTATAGATCATAAACTGTGCTAGTCGGTGAGACGCTGAATATACAAGATGAGACCTTATGCTATAGTAGTAAGAACAGAAAAACAAAGAGCAAACACTTCTCACTATAAATGCTTTCTATAAAGAAAACAGAAAATGTTAGAAGGTAACAAGAAAGTTTGTAGTTAGGATGGGAATGGGAGTAGGAATGGAAAGCTGTGGTCAGAGAACACCTCTCTGAGTATCATGTTTAAGCTGCCAACGAAAGGATGAGAAAGAGCAAGCCATGTGAACGTCTAAGAGGAGGAAATCCTGAATGGAGAGAACAAAAGATCGTATCTATTCATTAACACCCTGGAATGGGCAGAAAGCCGTCATCATAATTATTTTTTATGATTACACTGTGTACAACAAATGTGAAATAGAATCCTGGCACATTTTAGATGCTTCCTAAAGAAATGTTGTTGTTGTTGGTTTTTTCCTTTTAAAGAAAGCTTGCTACACTTTTGAAGTTCTTTCTTTCTCTCTCTCTCTCTTTTTCTTTTCCTTCTCATCCTTTTCTTTTCTTTTCTTTCTTGACAGGGTTTCACTTTGTTGCCTGTGCCAAAGTGCAGTAGTGCAATTTCAGCTCACTGCAGCCTTGACCTTCCAGGGTAATGTAATCCTTCCATTTCAGTCTTCTGAGTATCTGGGATTACAGGCATGGACCACCATGCAAAGCTAATTTATGTGTCTTTCGTACAGATGGGGTTTGACCATTTTTCCCAGGCTGGTTTTAAACTCCAGGGCTCAAGCAATACACCTACCTTGGCCTCTCAATGCGTTAAGATTAAAGGTGTGATCCACTGACCCTGGCCTGATGGATGACGCCAATCACCATGGCACGTGTATACCTAGGTAACAAACCTGCATGTTCTGCACATATATTCCAGAACTTAAAATATAATGAAAAAATAATACAGTTTCACAGTTGATCTCATATTTGCTTACTTTTATTTAAATATAACAAAAATTTTACTACTACATTATCATTCTATTCAACCTTTGTTTTTCTGTCAGTAAGGATTTTATTTAAAAAAACGTAGGGTTTTCCAAGTCTTTGTTTACCTAAATGAAGCATCTTCTATGGTGTTCTACTGATGCTCAGTATGACATATGTCCAAGTTTTCTATCATAAATACCTTAACACTGAAATATTTATATGAGGATATTTAATTTTTTAAAATACTGTATTACACCAAGTAATACATATTTATATATTATATATAAATGTATATATGTATATATATATTTTATACAATGCATATAATTTTATATACACATATATAATATATATGTATATGTATTATATATACATATATGTATATACATAATGTTTTCAGATGGGGTCTTGCTCTTTCACCCAGGCTGGACTGCAGTGGTGCAATCTCTACCTCCTGGGTTTAAGTAATTCTCTTGTCTCATCCTCTCAAGTAGCTGGGACTACAGGTGTGCACTATTAATCCGGGATAATTAATTTATTTTTGGTAGACACAGAGTATCACTGTATTGGTCAGGCTGCTCTCAAATTCCTGACCTCAGGTGGAACACCCGTCTAGGCCTGCCAAAGTGTTGAAATTACAAACGTGAGCCAATGCAACTGGCATGCATGCATATATACACAATATATACATACATATTCTGAGACACAGTCTTGCTTTGTCTCCAGGCACCAGGCTGGAGTGCAGTGGTGTGATCTAGGCTCACTGCAACCTCTGCCTTCCAGGTTCAAGCAATTCTCCTGCCTCAGCCTCCTGAGTAGCTGTGTCTACGGGCGTGCGCCACCATGCCCAGCTAGTTTTTGTAGTTTTTAATAGGGATGGAGTTTCACCATGTTGGCCAGCATGGTCTCAATCTCTTGACCTCATGATGCTCCCGCCTCAGCCTCCCAAAGTGCTGAGATTACAGGCGTGAGCCACTGCACTCGGCTGCCAGTATGTATTTTTTAAATGTTTTCTTATTTTTGGTGGAGATTGCAAAGTAGAGTTAGGTACTTTGAAGCTAGTTTCTCACTGAAATATCCACATGCTAATATTCTGTCTTTGAATATGTTTCCTTTGGGCTGCCATGCTTGGATAAGCAAGTCAATGGACATATGAAGATAACAGATGAGCCTGCTCTAGAAAGTGTAGATGACATTCTCTACTGGAATGCTTTGGTTTTCAGTACATGCTTCTCTTATTTTTTTAAGACAAATTAGTTTTAAAATACTAAACTGAAATCTAGGGGGAGACAGAGTGTTGCTCTGTTGCCTAGGCTGGAGAGCAGTGGGCTGATCTTGGCTTGCTACAGTCTCCACCTCCCAGGCTTAAGTAATCCTCCCACATAAGCCTACCAAGTAGCTGGGACTACAGGAACACACCACAATGACTAACTCATTTTGGTATTATTATTATTATTATTTTAATAGAGATAGGATCTCATTATGTTGCCCAAGCTCGTCTTGAATTCCAAGCTCAAGCAATCCACCTACCTTGGTTTTGCAAAGGGCTGGGATTATAAGAGTGAGCAACCAAGTTTGGGTAAACTGTAATTTTTTCAAGTAAATTGATTAGTGTTGGGTGTGGTGGTGCACACTGGTTATCTCAATACTTTGGGAGGCAGAAGTGAAAGGATTACTTAAGACCAGGAGTTTGGGCCGGGTGCAGTGGCTCAGGCCTGTAATCCCAACACTTTGGGAAGTCGAGGTGGGTGGATCATGAGGTCAAGAGATGGAGACCATCCTGGCCAACATGGTGAAACCCCATCTCCATTAAAATACAAAAAAAAATTAGCTGGGTGTGGTGGTGTACCCCTGTAGTCCCAGCTACTCAGGAGGCTGAGGCTGGAGAATTGCTTGACCCCAGGAAGGGGAGGTCGCAGTTAGCTGAGATCATGCCACTGCATTCCAGCCTGGCACCTGGTGACAGAGCGAGACTCTGCCTGAAAACCAAAACAAAACAAAAAAAACACCAGGAGGTTGAGACCTGGCTGGGCAATAGAGTGAGACACTTTGTCTCTACAAAAATAACAGTATATTACCTCAACAGTGTGTCCTTGAGAAAGTGTCAGAGCCTTACCTAGACCTTCTAATGGAAAACACACACACACACACACACACAGTATAGTCCATGTAAAGGGACAAGGTAAGAATATATTTTTTTAAAGGCATTTGATGGAATTTTTTTAAAAAAATATGAGCACTAATATATTCAAATAGCTAAAGAAAATGTTCCATTAAATGTATAATCAGGAAAGGACAAGTATAATGGTGATAAGTTGTGTATGTATTTGGGGTCAGTAGTTGAATCTATTGAGAGTACCACTAAAGAGCTGAATTATTAGTTCCCATTTTAAGGTACTCTAAGATCTGAGGCAAGTCAGGAAAGAGGGAAGAGGAAGTGAATAAAAGAGAAAGAATGAGGAGGGCAGAGTGAGTGAACATGGAATAAGTGAAGAAACAGTATGTGGGTGTATGTAAAGGAGGGTAGTAAAGTCAAACTGATTTGTAGAAGGAAGAGCAGGGTGATAGAAATAGGAAAGAAGGTAAGGTCAGCTTCTAGCACCAAAACGTGTCAGACAATTAGAGTAACATCTTCCTGTTCTTGCTGTCATTCTCACTGTTGGAGAGGCATTAAGTACTGAGCTACCTCTCCACTCAGACCTGTGTTTTATCTACCATGGATGAATATCACCATAAATGGTCAGCCATGTATGGAGGTAATTTAGTTTTATAGAAAATGTTGTTATTTCATCAGATAGTATCATATAGGCCAAATTAACATAATTGAGTAGTGTCTTGTGATTTATGGAGAGAAAGTTAGAGAAGGTATAGCCTGATTAAAAGTTTACTAGAAATATAATGGCTTATGGACAATTAAGGTAAACAAATGTGGAAGCACATTAGTATAGATCAGGGCATCCAAATTTTCATAAATTAGTTGAGGAGCTTCTGAAAAATGGACATTCTCATCCAGCACGTGTGGGATTCTGCATTTCTCAGAAGAACTCAGGTGGTGTTGGTGCTGTTCCTTGGACACAGCTCTGAATAACAAGGAACTAGCCTTCCTTTAGAGAAATCTGCAAAAAGAACCCTTAGACAAAATAACACAATCAAGGGAAGGCATTAATCTCCTTTTATTGCTGAAGTAGGATTCTGGCCACAGAGGAAGCAGAATGAGATGGAAAAAGAAATTATTAGTGTTTACTAATGCTGAATACAGATGAAGAAAGTGGTCGTAATTGTCCATAAAAAGCAGTTAGGAAGAGAAGCATCAGGATTACAGATCTAAAGATTACTTGTGCAAAGGAAGAGGGATTGTAAAAAGGCAACAAGGGAGTAAAAGAGTTTCTTGGGTGACTTTGGAGTTAAAACAAAGGAAACTTGAGACACCTCACTTGCAGTTCCTTGGGCACATGCCCCATCTAGCAAAAGTGGTTATTGCCGTGGAGAGTACTTGAGGCAGGAGGAGTGCTAGAATTGGGGTAAAGCACAGCAGCTAACTGCTCTTCATAACTGTCAGGCCTCAGAGCAAGAAGTTTCTTTGACATGAGTGAATAAGATGTGATTAAGTTGCATTTTGGCTAATTTGGGGGGGGGTTGGTGGGTGTTAGCCAGTTATTTGATATGATAGCTGTTTTATACAAGTCGTTTACAGAGTAAGATGACATATCGAACTTAGCTAATTTTAGGAGTCATCATGTTATAAAGTTTATTCTGTGAATACCAAAATTGTCATTTTCTAAGAATACTGCACTGATCTTGAAATATAAGTTTATTCTTTTCTATCAAGACTGTGGCAATTCAATGTTGTCTCTTGATAAATATTTTGATATTGAAAGCTTATTCTGTATGGTTTATTTGATGTGTTTTAAATCTTGCATGAGTGGATCAAGGAACTCTTAAGAAAAGGTCAAACAACAGCATATGAGAAATGTAGGTGCTTCAGTAGCCACGTGGGCATGGGAAAGTGAGAATTTTGAGAAACTTATTTCATAAGTGTGTATCATAGCTGATCAATTTAGAACACTTTCTTTGATGAGAGGTGAATCTCACATTCACCTGAACTGGCATCCCAACTGTCTATTTCCTGAGTGATGGGACAAGGGGAAGCACATGATAAATATTTGCGGTGTTCTGGCATCAATGCCTCTGATGTTTTCGAGTTTAAATACTCTGTAGCATTCATCATCAGCTTTGACATTGATTCTCTAAGGTTATGATTTGCTCCACTGTTTACTGGTCCCTTTTATCCTTATCAGCTCAACATGTTCACATTAATATCCATACTTTTCTATTTTAGTTATAGGCATTTGAAACAATCTCACTTTTGAAATATAAACTTTCTGATTTAGGGATCGTATATTCCTGTTTTACTCAGTATATTTCCATTACCTTGCTGTCCTAGGCATTGAAAACTCAGCTTCATACTAACACCGCATGAATGTTTGGTTGGCCCTGTCATATCTACACGTAATTGACGATGTGTCCCCTTTGCTTTGTAGGCCCTCCTGAATAACATCCTTCCTTGAAGGTAATTATATATATTTATTTTTAGTTACTAACTTTGTATTGTATAAAATATATATTATTTATTAGTTATTTTCTTTTAAAACCTAGTCAGCCTACCACTGAAATGGAAGATCGTGTTGTACAAAGAAAGAATGTATAGACACAGAGAGCAGGTACATTTTCAATACAAATGGAATGCTGGAAATAAGTATATTAAATGACTGGAAGTACTCACATTTTTCTTACCCCTAATTCTTTTTATTCTAAATGGAATAGAAGGCATTGACATAAATTTGTTATTGTTGGTATCCATATTTCAATAAAATTAAATTTAGAAATAAAAGAAAACAAGCTTTTAAAAATGAGTTTTAACTCAGATGTTTCTATTTTAATATTTTGAAAAGCATGACGTTTCCAAAAAGGAATTTTATATTTCTTAGGGATTCAAAGCAGTAAATTTTGAGGTTCTAAGATATTTCCAGTATCTTATGTGCTAGTTGGAGTTCTGAAACTTACCTAAAGGAATGCTTTACTTAGATATTCGTTTCTGTATTAATGTTAGAGACTTCCTGTTAATGTTATTACACCAATGATGTGAAACCAATTGAGATGTTCTAATGAGCAGACTGTGTGCATGTGTGTGTATGGGTGTGTTTGTGGCATCTTTGATTATTAAAAACTAGGAAAGTAATTCATAACTGGAAGACAGTCTTAAAATGGTGGTTTTGAGACTTTTTGGTATAAAAGTTTTTAAAAATATGTAATTGCGGGCCGGGTGTGGTGGCTCACGCCTATAACCCCAGCACTTTGGGAGGCCAAGGCGGGTAAATCATGAGGTCAAGAGATCGAGACCATCCTGGTCAACAAGGTGAAACCCTGTCTCGACTAAAAATAAAAAAATTAACTGGGCATGATGGCATATGGGCCTGTAGTCCCAGCTACTCGGGAGGCTGAGGCAGGAGAATTGCTTGAACCCAGGAGGTGGAGGTTGCGGTAAGCCGAGATCGCGCTATTGCACTCCAGCCTGGGTAACAAGAACGAAACTCTGTCTAAAAATAATAATAATAAGAATAATAATAATTGCATAGAGGCGACCAACATCAGGAACACCATTGAGGCTACCAACATCACTGGCTGTTTTCCATTTCAATACCCTTTTGAAATCCTTAACTGTATTGTGATGCTCAGAAATAATATGCAGAATTTTTATTTGTGTCCCAAAATGGAATGTGAGTGGTTCTTACACTTTACATATCATTCTGCCACTTTCTTGTGGGTACTTTGTATTATATTTTCAAGATGTATCCACACTGATAGGATTTGCTCTGGTTTAATGCATTCTACACTTTTCACTGTATTCCCTTATACTACTCTACCACATTGAATTAGACTCTCCTGTTGCTGATAAATGAAGAAAGAAAAAAAAAAAGAAACAGAAAAATAGGCCGGGCGCGGTGGCTCAAGCCTGTAATCCCAGCAGTTTGGGAGGCTGCAGCAGGCGGACCACGAGGTCAGGAGATCGAAACCATCCTGGCCAACATGGTGAAACCCCATCTCTATTAAAAATACAAAAAATTAGCTGGGCATGGTGGCGGGTGCCTGTAATCCCAGCTACTCAGGAGGCTGAGGCAGGAGAATTGCCTGAACCCAGGAGGCGGAGGTTGCGGTAAGCCGAGATTGCGCCATTGCACTCCAGCCTGGGTAACAAGAGCGAAACTCCGTCTCAAAAGAAAAAGATAAAAGAAAAATAGGTTGGGTGTGGTGGCTCATACCTGTAATCCCAGCAGTTTGGGAGGCTGCGGCAGGCGGACCACGAGGTCAGGAAATCGAGACTATCCTGGCCAACATGGTGAAACCCCATCTCTATTAAAATATTAAAAAATAGCTGGGTGTGGTGGTGCATGCCTGTAGCCCCAGCTATTCGGGAGGGTGAGACAGAAATCACTTGAACTCAGGAGGCAGAGGTTGCAGTGAGCCAAAATCGCGCCATTGCACTCCAGTCTGGCAGCATAGCAAGACTCTTGTCTCGAACAAAAAACGAAAAAGAAAAAGAATGTCATATTAAAAGGAGCTTTTGTTTAATCAGTTTGTACCTGTGAATATTTACTGTATGAGAGTTTAAGGCTGAGAAGTTCAGAATGCAAGCATGCACCACCATATTTTAGAAATGCCCTTAAAATTATGACTCATGAGCCTTTAGCCTACGAAGTTCCAACAATTCATTTCTCTAAAGAAGTTTACTGTACTGTTATTTAGACTGAAAATAGCAAATAACATTGTCTTATTTGACCTCTTGAATGTCCTCCAATGAAACTGCATTTTACTCATGTCAAAATTCAGAACCAAGGTTTTGAACATATATATAGTTTGTGAAAGTCTCATGATCGTAAGCCCTTGATTATGAAATGGCCTTTCAAGTTTTACTTGTGCATTTTTTGCTCTTTTTCTTGACTTGTCATACAAAAGCTTAAATTCAATAGTTTTATTCCTACAGAAAGGAGGAATTTAATTTTTTAATATATTTCTGTCTTGCCTCATGGCATTGTGAACTCTTCAGATCAGGTGTGGACCTAGACTTATTTTTACATGGAAACAATTAGGTTTGTTTCTTTGTTGTTGTTGAGACAGAGTCTTGTTCTGTGATATGGTTCAGAGTGGATAAGCTCTTAAAGCAGTCATCTTTCCAGTGGTTCTTTCTGTGGGAGGTAAAATGGCAGGTGAATTTGGGCCTTGTTTTATGTAGGGCAGAGCACATAGCTACAACTAAGTAAAACACACAGCACATTCCCCAGGAGTATTGGCCAGAGTAACACATTACTATCTCTTGAGCTCTTCTCCACTGGCAGCTGGAAAGTTTTTGCGAGAATCCCTGTTTCTGGTCTGATTCTTACATTTTGCTGACTTTGCGTGATAGGGTGTCTTATCCTAAACTGAACAGTTTTAACTAAAGAACTAGAATGTGTTGTGTTACAACAAACTAAGTGCAGTAGTTCCCCCTTAAGTATGGGAGATACATTTAGAGGCCCCCAATGAATGCCTGAAAGCACAAATAGTGCTGAACCCCGGTTTTTTTTTTCTATACGGTACTTACATATCTATGATAGTTTATTATTAATTAGGCACATTAAGAAATTAACTAATAATAAAATGAAAAATTATGGTAATATGCTGTAAAAAAAGTTATTTGAATGTGGTCTCTTAAATATATGGTATGGTTTTCACCCTTTTTCCTGTGATGATGTGAAGTGATACAGTGCCTATGTAATGAGATGAGGTGAGGTGAATGACGTAGGCATTGCCACGTACTGTTAGGTCACTATTCACCCCGACTCTAAGTCAGAAAAAAAGATTATCAGCTTTGAGTGTTCCTGGACATTCAGACCTTAATGATGTTGATGGCTGGATGCAGGAGGAGACCATGTTGATGACTAGGGCGGGACAGCACATGCAGTGTGAATGCACTGGACAAAGGAATGATTCACATCCTGGGATGGATAGAGGGCAATAGCTCAAGATTTTATTGTGCTTCTCAGACTGGCACACTAACACTTAGGACTTGTTTATTTCTGGAGTTTTCAATGCAATCTGTTTGGAATACAGTTGACTGTTAGTACCTGTAACCACATAATTCAAAACTGCAGATGTAAAATCTGTGTTTGGACTTTGACTCATTTCTTGGTGTACAATTCTTAAAATCCTTAGAATTTCCAAAGTGATGTCTTTTAGTATGCTAATGATCGATGGCTGGAAGCTCCTAGGTAGATTCAGGATGGGAACTGGTACCATCCTGAAGACATGCCTGATTAAGAGGGTTGAGATCTTCTGTCTCACTCTGCAAACTCTGGGGAGGAGACAAGGGCTGAAAGTTGTCAGTCACCAACAGCCAGTGGTTGATTAGTTATGCCTATGTATTGAAGCTTTCATACAGACTCAAAGGGACTGGGCTTGGAGAGCTTCCAGGTCACTGAAAACATGGAGGTTCCTGGAGGGTGGTGTGTCCTGAGAGGGCATGGAATCTCTGTGCCACTAAGCCCCATACTTTGCACTATACATCTCTTAAAATGTACCTTTTGTACTGTCATTCATAGTATGCTGCTAAGTGTGTTTCATGAGTATTTTGAGCCATTCCAGCAATTCAATTTAACCCAAAGAGGGAGTCCTGGGAACCCCAATTTGAAGTTGATTGGTCAGAGTTCTGGAGTCTCAGACTTAGGACTGATGTAGTGAGGCAGTCACACAGGACTGAGACCTTTACCTGTGGAATCTGATGCTGTCTGCAGATAGAGTGTGAGAACTGAATTAGACGACACCCAGTTTGTTTCATCTGCAGAAGTGACTGCTCGCCTGTTGGTGGGAAAAACCCTCTCCACATGTTTGGTCACAGAATCCTTCTTTGTTGATGACTTGCTGTGGTGCGAGAGCGGAGAAAAACATGGCAAATGTGTCTTTTCCACACATACAGTGGATAAGGGGTACTGCTATTTACTCTGTTTTAACTGCCCCCCTCAAGTTTTGGTCTAGAAATCATGGTGTTTGACACTGGTCAGTCATGCATAACAAATAAAAAGTAAGGGAAGTAAGAGTTCTTACTGCATTGATTACATACCAATAGGTATAATTTATATTAATTCTAATAAGGTCCAAGGTATGCTCCCAGATGAATGCTTTGTAACAAAGCATCAGTCTTATATTTAAAGAAAAATGATCTAAATCATGTACACAACTGTGCATACTTTTAATGAAGATAGCATCTTGCTATGTTTCCTAAACTGGTCTCAAACTTCTGGGTTTCTCAAGTGATCCTCCTTCCTCAGCCTCCCAAATAGTTGAAATTATAGGCATGCATCACTGTACTTTCTTATGGTTTTAATATTCTATACATTATTGATTTAAAATGCATTTTACCTTTTCCTTTAATAGAGTCTGGGAGTTTTGATGAATCTGCAGTCAGGTAGGATTTTACAGATTTTACTTTCTTATGGTTTTAATATTCTATACTTTATTGATTTAAAATGCATTTTACCTTTTCCTTTAATAGATTCTAGGAGTTTTGATGAATCTGCAGTCAGGATTTTACAGATTTAAAAATTATGTTAACTAAGAAAACATAGATGGAAGAAACTAGTATCTATTGAGTGTTGCATTCTGGGCTACCCACCCTATTATGTGCTATGCATTTATCTCATAAAGCCATCACAACATCTGTTTTCTTATAACCTATTGTTTATTAAATAGGCAACTGTGGTTTAGAGAGGCTGATTAATTGGATTATATGATCCCATAGTTCATAAAGTAGCTGACCCAGAGTTTGACCGTCAGCCTATTTGGCTTTCAAATCTTTTCTCCTGTTCCTCAGCACAGATTGATAGATATCTGAGCAGCACTTTGATCAAGGTGTATGTCTGAATAACATTAATCAGATAAATTATTTTAATGTCTAAATTAATGAGTTTAAATAAGTTAAACTCTGATTTTAGGTTACTATTAGAAATGAGGTTAGTCCTTGAGTTTGTCCCAATAAATTTCATGATTTTTGTGGTAAGCAGCATTTTTATTTTTTTTTAATTAACAATCAAAGCCTTTAAGGCAGAATAAAGGTTTGGCCATAGGAATGGAAGTTTTATAAAACCAAGATTTGGCAAGTCTTGGAGAGAAATTATTTGCCTTCCCAGTTTTGTTTTCCCTTTAGGCTAGTATTTCTGCCTACTTCCGTAAGGCTTTTTTATTTTTCTTTTTCCACGACTTTTCTTCCTCGGTGTTTCTTTTGTTATGTTTTCAAATTCTACTGGCTGTGTGTGTGTTCCCAATTTTCCTATAGACAGAACCAAAAGCCCACAGAATTACAGAAATTTAAGGAGTCTTAGGACTAATTAAAATATCTTCTAGTACTTCAATCTGTGTTGAATGTTCTGGTCAAGGGATTTTCTAGACAGCGAACTCGAGACTCAAAGAGATTAGGCTCCTTTTTTTTTGGACATAAGACATGGTAGAAATGAGATTTCAACTCGTTTTAAAGCCCAATAGTCTTCCTTCTTTTTTTAGTCTCTTGGCATGTTTTGTTGTTGTATTTGTTGTTTGTTTTTTGAGACAGAGTTTTGCTCCTGTTGCCAGACTGGAGTGCAGTAGCACAATCTCAGATCACCACAACCTTCACCTCCTGGGTTCAAGCGATTCTCCTGCCTCAGCGTCCTATTTGGGATTACAAGCATCCACCACCATGCACGGATAATTTTGTATTTTTAGTGCAGACGGGGTTTCTCCATGTTGGTTAGGCTGGTCTCAAACTCCTGACCTCAGGTGATCTGTCCACTTCGGCCTCCCAAAGTGCTCGGATTACAGGTATGAGCTGCCAGGCCTGGCCTGGCATGTGTTTTAATAATACAAAGGGGGAGTGAATCTAGTGCACCCAGCAGATAGAATGAGAATGGAATTTAGCTAGTGAACCCAATGGAAATGGCTAAGAATGGAATGAGCAGGGCAAGGCCAGATTTGAAGAGAAACGACCCTGGATACAGATTATTCAGTAAGAGATTAGAATATTGGGGTTTATGACAAGTCTGATAAATTATAAAGATGACGGACACAAGATACTGGGAATTATCTACAAAGGCACATTAAAATAGACGGTTCAGGGAAGCTCTAAACAGATTGCTGTGCTCTTTTTAAATCAAGAACTGACAAACTTGAAGATTTTTGCTGTAAGATGCTAAAACATTTGGAGACTCTGGGAGGAGTCTGTACATCACACAGAAATGTGGTATCATCTAATTCCATCCTGACTGACAGAGGAGGCTTAGAGCCCCTTGAGTACTGATGGGCTCCAGATTGCTGAACTACGTAGATCAGTGGCCCAGGACAGGTGTCTCCTCATCTCTGCCTCTCTTCCCAATTCACTGATGTCCTTCCCATAGCACATAGACTGGGTCAGGGGCATCATTGACTGTCAAATCCGTCATGAAGTTCAGCTGGGTAGTTGGAGGTGTGTCTGTCCTGGTAGTTAGTAGAGACTCTAGTTAGGCTGTTATTCAGGAGCAGGGACATAGAGCGCTCCTACTCCTGGCCATTTGAGGCCATCTTTACAGGAATCTGTGCTTTCAGAGACTGAAGATATCAAGACTGGAAACTGCCATGGAGCCCTGCATAAGTGGAATCTGGAAGTGGGATTCCAAAGGAAGAAAGATATTTAGATAGTTCTTAGGGAAACAGAGGTACAACTGCCAGGACTCTGTTTTTCCAGCAGTCTCTCTCACTGGATATCTGAGTGCCTATCAAGGTTTTAAGGGCTTACTAGTTTATGAGGTCCTGAATAAGGTAGGATCTATAGAGTGAAAATAATTATATTTTTATAATTGTTAATGTTTTAATCTTTCTGGGAAGAGTATCCTCAATAAGAAAATACACCTTCATTTTCAGACTTTTGTACATTTAGCTCTCGTACATTTCAAATATAGTAGGGGATTCTCTGTACTCTTTAGAACAAAGGAAAGCATTGGGACCTTAAGTGGTTTTCATGCTGAGGAATCAAGACTGCCATTTTGAAGTGACAAAGATTAGTCTTTTAACCAGAGATAGATAATGGACAAGAGACAGTGGATCTTTCTACCTTGTTTTAGGTCATAAGGTTCCTTCCAGTTTAGGTGACAAAAGTTATGTCATCCATTAATTGAATTTCATGTTCTGCTTCAGGACAGATAATTTGTGAGGGTACGTTATTGTCAAGCTCTGCCAATGTATCGGCTGTCACTATTTGTTACGGAGCTTAAAGTTAGTTTTCAATGAATATTTTGGAGATTGACAGTTGAAGGCAGAAATAGGTAACCAAAATCTATTTTTAGAACAGGTTATTTAATAGACAGATGGCTGACCTCTTCACACATTGTGTTTTTGTTTTTTGGAGCAGGAAGCTGAATATGAACTGGCAGTTTACAAGTTTATAAAAAAAAAAATAATAATCTGATTTATATTTTATATTTTTGCTCTAAAGCATTTTCCACGAACTGTGTGCGGATTCATGCCCGAAACCAGATGATGAAGACTTGACTGTTACTACCAAGGTAAAGTGGTCTCTTGTAAAATTTTCTCACTCAGTCAACTTTTGCATAGTATTAACTTTTAAAATTTGGCAGTGGTTTACCTATTACTGTTTTATGATGGTTATGGACAGTTGGTCAGAGAAAACCATACACACATGGCTAGTTGATTAAAAAATTTTATTTAACAGTAACTAACAAAAGATTGATAAGAACTGTAACAGGGTGGAGGATGAACAAAAATGAACTGGAAGACACATAGCAACAGAAAATCACATTAGGAAATGCTTTCCCCAATAGAGAAAATGTGAAATTTGGTTAAGGTTTAATTAAATATTAATACTTTGACTTTTAAATCATACTACTGTGACATCTATATTTTTGCCAGTATTCATCTTAAGTGGATCAAATTAAGTGTGGTAATCATGGAATCACCCTGGCACCTTTTAGTCGAAAAACTGTACAACAAACAACATATAGCTGTTTTTCTTGGACACTTACTATTTGGGTATTATATACTTGGTAAGAGAGATTGTTCTTCTACTTATATTATTGGTTCTGTAATGAGACTAAAATATTAAAAATTATAGAAAAAAATAGCTGGGTGTGCTGATACATGCCTGTAGTCCCAGCTACTTGGGAGTTTGAGGTTGCTTGAGCCCAGGAGTTTGAGAACCACCTGGGAAGCATAACAAAACTGCATCTAATTTATTTTTAATACTTTTACTAAGTTCTGGGGTACATATGCAGAACGTGCAGGTTTGTTACATAGGTATACACATGCTGTAGTGATTTGCTGCATCCATCCCCCTGTCATCTACATTAGGTATTTCTCCTAATTTTATCCCTCCCCAGTCCATCCAACCCTGCTATCCCTCCCTTATTCCCAACAGGCCCGGGTGTATGATGTTCACCTCCCTGTGTCCCTGTGTTCTTACTGTTCAACACCCACTTATGAGAACCTGCAGTGTTTGGTTTCTGTTGTTGTGTCAGTTTTTTGAGGATGATGGTTTCGAGTTTCATCCATGTCCCTGCAAAGGACATGAACCCATCCTTTTTTTATGGCTGCATAGTATTCCATGGTGTATTATGTGCCACATTTTCTTTATCCAGTCTATCATTGATAGGCATTTGGGTTGGTTTCAAGTCTTTGCTATTATAAACAGTGCTGCAATAAACATGTGTGTGCATGTGTCTTTATAATAGAATGATTTATAATCTTTTGGTATATACCCAGTAATGAGAAAGCTGAGTCAAACGTTATTTCTAGTTCTATATCCTTGAGGAATTGCCACACTGTCTTCCACAGTGGCTGAACTAATTGACACTCCTGCCAACAGTGTAAATGTGTTCCTGTTTCTCCACATCCTCTCCATCATCTGTTGTCTCCTGATTTTTTAATGATCGCCATTCTTACTGGCATGAAATGGTATCTCAATATGAGTTTAATTTGCATTTCTCTAATGACCAGTAATGATGAGCTTTTTTTCATGTTTGTTGGCTGCATAAATGTCTTCTTTTAAGAAGCGTCTGCTCATATCGTTTGTTTGATTTTTGAAATGGTTTTTTCTTGTAAATTTGTTTAATTTCTTTTTAGATCCTGGATATTAGCCCTTTGTCAGATGGGTAGATTGCAAAAATTGTTCCCCATTCTGTTGGTTGTCAGTTCACTCTAATAATGATTGTTTCTTTTGCTGTGCAGAAGCTCTTAAGTTTAACTAGATCCCACTTGTCTATTTTGGCTTTTGTTGCCATTGCTTTTGATGTTTTAGTCATGAAGTTCTTGCCTCTGCCTATGTCCTGAATGGTATTGCCTAGGTTTTCTTCTAGGGTTTTCATGGTGTTAGGTCTAATGTTTAAATCTTTAATCCATCTTGAGTTAATGTGTATAAAGTGTAAAGAAGGGATGCAGTTTCAGCTT